CTGTAAATCACTGCAGTGCCTCTTCTGAAAACACTGCAGACAACTGCTCAATATACAGGGAATAGACTCTTACAGTAATTCACTACCTCTCACACACTGGAACTGTTAGACAAAGAAAAAATCCCAAAATCTGTACTTCACCTCTCATTAGGAGGTTAAAGCACATACCTCAAGCACACTCCAGAAGGGGAATAAACCCAACATGTTCATACAGGTGGCCTGTCTTAACTCTTACTGTTTAAACTCATTGTTATTTCCTTTTTAATACCTTAAAAATAGTACTAGGTTTAACACAGTGCAAGGGCATTTTTTTCTGTTCAGTCTGAATATCACTTCAACTTGTAAGCAAATGGGAAATGTACAAATAGAAGTAAAAGTAGGTTGCAGTGGCAATGCAACATTATTTTCAGCCTTAAAATACTCAAAGAATGTATCACTGTGGAGCTGAAATCTAGTCTCTTTGGTTGTTATTTTGGGATATCCTTATAAAAAGAAACTCATGTCCATGGTTTGGACAAGGTCTTTGAGAAACTTTGCCATCTGTATAATTGTGTAGTGACAAAATCTGAGACTACCGTTGAAGAAAATATTATCTGTGAGTTTTAGTTGTGCTTCATGGCAGCAGAGCTAATTTATTACAGAAATTCATTACGGAAATGTTATGTAACTATTCTACTTCCATCTCAGATGTTTTATGAACGGGACTGTAAACTTCAATGCACTGCAGCTGATCAAGGCTGATTTTACAAAATGCTTCACTGTTAAGTAGCCACTGGATGTCAAAATGTCAGATATTCATAACTGTTTGACTTTGTCCATGTTTATTTGGTAGAGAGGGGGCTGTTAAAATAGTCAAAGACAGCTGTGAGACTTCAGCAGGCACAAATTCAGTGCTGATGTGATTCCAGCCCCAGAAGCAGTCACACTGCAGACAGCACCACACATGCTCCACTGATCTAGAATTTTTATTTATCCTATTTAGCTTTTAGAGAACATGAATAGCAGTTCATCCTAAAAAGTTCTTGCCCAGACAACAAGCAACATGCAGCAAAGGTTACCTTCACAGGCAACTTTAGAAAGTAAAAGTGAAGACTGAATGCACACAGGCTTCATTACTTACAGAGTGATTTGTAAAGGCCAGCTTAACAAAATTGATTCATTTAATTACCTTTCTGGCAAGCAACTCTGTATTCAAACACAGAAATTTTCCAGGAACCCTTGCACAGGATACAAAGTGACAATACTGGTCTCTGAAACCCAAAGAGAACCACTGCTATAAGGAAGATGGAAGAGGGGCAAGACAGGAGGTTGCAGAGGTGTGGTTTTCTAAGCCAGATAGTTTTGAAAGGTGAGATCACTTCTACAGTTTCTTGAGCACAAATATCAGACTTGCAATCAGTACTACAGGAAATTATCATGACTCATTTTTGTTACTGAGAAGGGCATGCACACAGAAAATGAAAATATGTACTGAAAATTGTTACATTCAACACAAAAATATATACTGAAAATTGTTACACTGCTAAAAGTGTTTATATATAATGATGCAAAAGTGTGAGCTCATCTGCTTCTTAATTCTTCATACCAAAAACAATTTATTGCACAATTGCAAAAAAAATGCAGAAACTTAGATTACTGAACTTTATAACCTATAATCTACTTTTATTGCCACTCAGCTTTCATCTTTTAGAATGTCAAATTTCTTTTTATCCTCTTGCTTTTCTTATTACAACTGGTCCAAGACTCCATCTATTCTTTAAAAATTCACATGCACAAATCCATCAAGTCAAGGAACTAACGATGTGCTTAAAAGTAGGAACACCAGATTACACCCAGTTAATTCCAGTGTAATCTTTACCTTAGTTGGTAGCTCTGTCCCAGTAGCACCTGCTTTACAAGAGCAACTTCAGTAAGGTTTAGAGGAGGTAAGTAAGGTGAGTAAGCTCCTGATGGTCACGCCCATAGGGTTATGAACCCTTTCCATCTTGGTATTTGCTTTTGTTTCTACTGCCAAATATTAAAAACAATTAAACAAAACAAAACCAAAAAAGCACCTAAAAAAGATTGCTGTTTGTGTCACTGGAAGTAACTCAAATTATCTTGTTTGTACCCCCTGCATGTTTCCTAACCATATATTATTGAATGATTATATTACAGAGGGTCTGTATTATATTACATCACAGGTCTGAGATGGTTTGGTTGGGGCTCCCTTTCAAAATAATTATCATTCTAAAATACATAAGCCTGAGTGCATAAAATACTATTTTGTTATAAAACTCTACAGCAGAACATAGTTTTATGAGTTTTAACTCCATATTTCAATAATTCAGACTACACCCTCAAGGGATCTTATTTAAGACATGCTCATTGCACACCACATACTTTCCATCTTAAGAGTGCTTTTCAGTTACTTTTAGTCTGTAGCAACTAAGTAGACATCTGGTTATCTGTGATATATATTCCATTTTAGCTGTGTCTGCAATCAATAGCAAAATTTTGCTCCCAGGGACAACATGTTTTGCAGTATTCCCTAATTCATCTGTAACTGTTACAGTTTGGTTAATATTAGTATTTTTAATTTTCAAAATAAATGTCGCTACAAATTTTTAAAATAGGTTAAAAAGTTTTCAGTGTATGTAACAGTTTCAACATGGCAATTTACACGAGAGGCTACTAGAACAGAAAGTGCTTGATGTAGAAGGATATTGCATTATTTCCTGACTTACTGTTGTCAGGAAAGAAAAGCACGTCACAGGCTGGCTTTTAGGCTTTGGTGTGTCACAGCACATGAAATCAGTGATGAAAGCCCCACATTCTGCCCGTGTTACTCGGCCACTCGTTTCTGCTCTGGCACCATGTCACCCCCTCCACAGCTGCGTCCTGCTAACTCTGTACGGGGATACCTGAAGTGATACTGGTTTAAAAGTCATCCTTGGAACACAGGCAGGAATAAGTAGCCAAAGATGGGGACTTTTAAAGCTGAATTTACTGGCAAACGTAACATGACTATGTGTCTACACTCACACAGCATTTACCTACACTTTCAAGCATGGAGATCACCTCTGCTGCAGATTTCTGAACTTGTGGGCAAAAGGCATCCTCTGCCTTACAGAGGTAGGGCACCTGTACCTCATCTGAGACAGGAGGGCTTGCTTCACTCCCTGCATAATTGCAGGACATTTTTCCAGTAGTCCTGCATGATATGTTATCATGCATGGTCATTTTTTTAATTTGGAGATTTATACAGTGTTGGCTGTATAAAGGCACAGTGAAACCAGCTGTCACTGAATTGCTCAGAACCTTCAAAAAGCATACAGGCATTTCACACTTGGTCCCATTAACTGCAACCTGTAATGCATTTTCAGTTAGAGGTTTTTCAGAGAAAAACCTAAGTATAATTTTAGTTCAAAATTTACAAAATCAAGCTTTGACCACAGAGTAAAACTGGGTGTGCTTAACGCAGTAAACAATAGGTTCAAAAAGATGTGAAATACTAAATGAGATTTTTTTGAGTCATCACACTGCCTATACTGATACAGAGTCCAAACCTCACTTATTTCTCTCAGCTGATTAGATTCAGTCCTGCTCTCTAGGCATTTCTACTGCAAACAGATCTGTAAACTGATTTACATTTGCCAGAACAGAAGTTCTTCAGAGAAACTCACAGTTGGCATCTGTCTCCAGGACTGTCAGGGCTCATCTCTGTTCTGCTAAAACTGGTTGTGCATTACCCAGGAAGCATTATTATTTGGTAAGAAAAAAATATATTATTACAGGTGTCTCCTTACTCAAATTCCAACTTTAAATCTAAGAAATACACAGTCAGAAATTCTCCTGCCTCAGTACCAGAGAAACCATCCCTTCAGTATAGGACCACACATTCCACAATCTATATTATAGTGAAGTCCAGAGGTTCTAACCAGAGCAATGCTTTCATCTAGCTAAACCTACACAGTCAGTACAGAAGGATTCAAAGCAAAAATATTTACAGCTCAAAAGCAACAGGGCAAATACTGTATTTACCACACTTAGGTGGCTGTTTCTCATTCAAGTGTTAAGGCCTCACAGAATCCACATTGTATCAATATCATTAGCTAAATCTTTCCTTTACACATCTGTCAGTTCAACTTTATGTGCCAGCTGAAAAACTGTAACTGTCACATCCTTTTTTAAATGTGTGAGATTATAATACTTGTGCACAGTGCTAAAGCAAGAGCCTAGGGACTGAAATTCTTCTTGTTCTCCAAGCAGGTAAAGCAAGGGCAAGCACTAAAGGAAGTTTACCAGTGAAGTCCAGTCAGTGTGGCTGTTTTCAGACCCTCGATGCCTTTGTGTGAAAGCTTGTTGAGTATTTCCAATGCTATGCTTTAGTCTAATAAAAGATACAGATTCTCACCATAAAACTTGCTTCCTAACTAGCATACATTTCTGAAAGCCTTTTCAAAGCTGGAGAAACCAATTTTTGCCAAGTGTGCAAACTTCCATGAGTCATATAATACTCTGACTTCTGTTTTAATATGAGTAAATACGATAATTGACAACAAGATGCTGAAGTGATTTATACAGTTTCTTATGATAAATGTAAGAAGTGTTTTAAAGAAGGTCTTCCATAGAAACTTTATTTATTTTCCCATATTTTTCAGAACTTCTTATTAGAAGCACCAGCCCTCAAAACAGACTTTTTTTTCCTCCCTAAGACCCAATTATAAATACAGAGTTTGAAATCAACCCTATGACTCCTTCCTGGCTGTGTGTCATACTGACATTTAACATCAAATACAAGCACTGCTACTTTTTAGACATGCACTGCTGGACAAATAGATTGCACACTACTTCTAAATATTTCTCTCAGGGTACCCATATGCTATTTTCACAAATGGGCATCTCTTTGGTTTCTGAATAATATATGTCAAGACTAGGGAAAGAAAAACAAAAAACAAAAAAACAAACAAAAAAAAAACCAAAAAAAAAAAAAAGAGAAAGAAAGAGCAAGCCTAGTTCCTGGTCACCACAGAAAGCATCCAAAACTACTTCACTAGAAGAAACACCTTCTTTGTACACTTCTCTTACAGTATGGACTAATTTTTTCCAGCCTACTCTTTTTTGTTTCTCTAACTGTATCACTTCCCTGGCTGCAATAGTAGGCCTTAGTAGCCCTGACAAATTGATTATGAAGATATTTAATTATTTGTCTTCTAAAGCTGTATAATCTGGAAGCGGTAGCAGGAACAGAGATTTACATGGAAGAGAAAAGAAGGTGGAGGCATTATTCCCCCATGAACACTCCAGTATTGCCATAACTCACATGAAACCTCCTCTCTCTGTTCCCCAGCCAGAGCTGCATCATGAGCAGCTAACACACTCATTATTCTTGGCACAGAAATAAATTAGAGAGTTAACCACTGAATGCTTAGATCATTTGGGAAAATCAGTGAAACAATCTCTACCTACACAAGCATATTCGAGAAGGATTACAAATCATGTACAATGTTTATTATATCTGCAAATGCACAAGATAATACAGTAGCTGTTGCCCTCATTATATTAAAACCAACAAATAAAATGTAAGCTTTGCAAAACCTTTGCTCATATATATATATGCAGGGTCAGCTTTCCCCATGCATGGTCACGAAAGGCCCAGAGACAAGGGTGTGAACAATGATGCTTCCCTGCAGCAGCACAAGCCCCATCTTGTACAACCTGCACAACCTGAGAGCCAGGAGAGCAATAAGGTGAATGAACCTTCAGAACATGTCAATGTCTTGGTACTTTATAATTCTACAACACAAGTAATGAGATCTTATCAAAACATGATTTAATGTCATGACTCGAGCTGGATGGTGAGCACAGGAACATTGCTATTTGAATTTTAATTAAAATTTCATTAGGTATCATATTACATTTTAAAATTAGTATTTTGCTTCTAAGCCAACAGTTGATTGTGTAACTGAAGGCTATCTACATCACAGCCTTTTCCATACCACTGCAAAAATAATTCCACTGGTCTCAAGAATAGTCAAGAACGGAGGTCTCTTAGTATGTATGTGTTACATATGCAGATCAACTTCCAAGTTGTTTTTTAATTAAAATTATTATTTGCCATCTTCCTGCCTGCCTGAAAAGGCAAATACAGTCCTTACATGACCCTCCTCCAACTCTCCTTCCCAAAAGAGTGTCATGTGTCACCAGTGAGGATGGCCAGTGCCCCACCAATACACTATTTATTGTGCAGCAGTCAGGAACAGAGAAAGGCACAGTCTCAGTGAGAAGTACACCTGGGGACATCGTGCTCTATCAGGATTCTATTATTCTCTAGACAGAATGAAAAATAGCGCTCTAAAGCACCAGCATGTTCCCTGGTTTTAAAAATATGGTGCTTCTATTTGGAACTGAAATTAATTCAGCCATGGTATGCAGTCCTTTATTAAAAGGCTCTTTGAACGTAAGGAAACAGAGACACTTGAAGAAGTCACGCGTCCGAAGTTGTTTGGGAGTGATTTCTTGTTCCTTCAGAGTGTGCACTCAGCTGTGGGCTGCACCCCTGAACGAACAGCCCCTCTCACTGCCCGGGGAGGCACCCGAAGACAGCTCTGGGGGTCCCCAGGCTGGAACAGGCAGCTTGCACCCTGAGCCGAGGGGCTCGGCCGAAAGGCTCCCACAGGGGCTGCCGGAGGGCGCGGTGAGCCAGGACAGTGCCCCGGGAGGAGCCCTGGCAGCTCTGACCCGCTCCGGCCGCCCCAGCCTCAGCCCGGCTCCCGGCAGCGCTCCTGCCCTCACACCGGCCCAGCCTCAGCCCGGCTCCCGGCAGCGCTCCTGCCCTCACACCGGCCCCAGCCTCCACCGCAGCCTCACGTCCCGCACCGCCAGCGCTCGCACAAGTGCCCCTGTTGCTGCAGTGTACTGCAAACGAAACAAGTGCACCCTTATATAACATCGTTACAATTCTATTGCAGTGCTTCCTCAGAGACAGCAGCGCCTCAGCGACCGAGGCTCGGCCACACTGAGGGACAGGAGGCACCACGCGGCTGGACACCGAGTGCTCTGTAGCTTGCACAAAAATAGAGGTAAAACGGGATACTCGGATGAAGGATATCCCCTTACTCCATCAAAAAGTTATGCTTATATAAATCTTAAATGACTTGCAGCATGAAAACAAATTGCTAGGCCGCCAGCTGAGATTTCAACTCATTTTGAGTCTCTAATTATGCTTGAACAGCTCTTGAAAACACTGAAATCTGTTTTCGACTGCATAGCAAAGCAAGGAATGGGCAAGACAAATATTGTAGTAACCTTCGTAAGTAACCTCATAGTCATTGTGGAATCTGTCCTCTCCCCTTTATCTCCTCTGGGGAAGTCGGTGCTGATTATGAAAACACCTTCAATAATAAGATGTTCCAGAAACTGATCATTTTGTTTAACTATTTTTAACATTTATTTCAATATTTTAATATTCTGATGTTATCTTTCCATTTCCATTCTCTGCTATATGGAAGAAGTTCTTAATAGACATACTTTGATGTCAGTACAGATTCACAGACAGATAATTTTCTTCTGAACAAACTTGTTTCTGTAAATACAAATGCAAGGGTAACTGCCACAGTCCTGTCTGTGGTAACAGATGTTATTAAATCATACCTATTTTTATTGTAAGGGATGTTTAATAACCTCCACTTTGTAACAAAAGGGCAAACAACTGCCACTATACCCATATTTTAGCAGCAGCAGGATACAGATGTTAAATTCTGGACTGTACTAGTCTCTCATTCCTCCAGCTTTGTGAATGGCCTCAAAGCCAGCATTTTTCATTTTTATTTTTAGTTTTTTTAGGGGGTTTTTTTGTTGGTTTTTTTTTGTGTTTCTTTATATGGAGATGTTTTACTAAGCTCTTAAACTTTGCTATGTCACATACCTGAGGAAAGAAACAGTGCAAAATACAAAGCATGAAGGATACTATTTTTCAGCATTCCTTCTTCAAGCATTTTCTGGACCATTTCAGGAGAAAATATTCAATGTTCACAGAGAATTCTCTTGTATGGCCTTATTACTGTCACCTCTCCCTTGCAGAGAAGGATCACTCAGGTACAAATAGCACAAAACCCATGTTTTTCCACCCAGCTACCACCTGCATGCTCAGGGACCTTGGGTTAACCACTTCTCTGTACATCAGCAAAACATCAATGGGGGCTATATGGCCAAATAAATACAATGAAAAAGGTTTTATGTGCTTTAAAATTAACTGGTGGCACATAAATGCACAATCTAGCTGTAAACATGTAACTGAAAAAGACAAAATGAGGACAAAGACTGATAGCTATCCTTAAGAACTCATGCAACTTGCACATTCAATCACTAATATTTTTATTAGTCTAGCAGTTTGTCTTCCCTGACTGAGTGCCTTAAAGGGCTTGTTACTTCAGCAAGGTACCTTATTGCAGCTCATTAAGTACTGGCAAAATATGGAAATTTGTTGAAATCTATGCTACTCTGCAAAAGGCAAACTGATTTTTAATTTCTTCATTATTACCACCTCAATTCCTCCTTCAGCATTATAGTTGCATAATCTCTACCCTTGGAGGTTTTCAAGAGCAGACTGATTACAGCCCTGAGCAACCTGGTCTGGCCTCAGAGCTGCCCCTGCTTTGAGAAGAGGCTGGAGCCCTTGTTAGGTCCCTTCTAACCTGAACTATTCCATTATCCTTTCTGGCAGCTTCTTTCTGTCTTCTCTTTGCTGTTTTCCAGGATTTCCTCTATAGACTTGGGACTTTTATAAAGGGATTGTTGTCTTGGTAGAAAACTCAGGTGCCCAATCTTTCTTGTTGTCATGAAAGATTCAGAATATTGCAGGAAAATCACTACTTCTGGCTGATTCTGTATGACTCAGTTTTGATTAAAATGTTGGTTTTGCCAAATCTCCTGGAACTTACATGAAATTGAGGGTAAAAAAACCCCACCCAAGTTATTTATACTTTTCTGTTCTTCTACTGAATCTCTGCTACTTTTTATTGCTGTCTATATGTTTCAAATTTTAGGTACTGCCCTGCTGTACCTGACCCATTGACTTTCTGGCTTTCCAGAAACTGGTTTGTAGGAACTTGCAGTAAACATTTTAAGTGATTAAAGCCCTGCAAAGGATGGTGAGCTACATGTGAAAATCTCTCTTCTGAATTAGCCTTTTTCTAATGAAAATTAGGATTTCTTGATGTTCTCACCTCAGTATTACTTTGTGTTTACAACAGAATACTAATTTTGTGTTCTGCACATTCTCAATGTCCCTAAATAGCTTCCTAAAGTATTTTCCAACTCCATTAGAGATCAGTTTTGCAAGCTTCTTAAGTAACAGCAGTGAGTTTTATTATACCTTTCCCTCCTCTTTCTACTGACAGGAGGCATTACTGCCATTTGGCAAACACTGTACTTCTACTTTTTTTTCTTATTCCTTTCTCGAAGGGATTTTGTAAGAGTTATAAAAAGCAGGTCAGCTCTGCAAGCACCTATATAAAAGTTTCTGCTGTCTTTAAAAGGTAATGTGAAAAGAAAATCATTTATATTCAAAACTTATTTAAAAGATTGCTGAAGCCAGGAACCGAAAGAAAGAAGCTGGAAAATGATCAGCTAAGATCCAGTTGTTTTCACTTCCACCTTATCTAGACTTAGATTTTTTAAGCAAATTTCAGAAGATTATTGCTAGTTTATCTCCTTTAAGCACCATTCAATATGCAAACATAATCACTTTCAGTATTTTTTCTTAATGGATTTAAGATCTTAATGCCAGTCCAAAATATCTTTTTTCCCCCCTGCCTTGGAAATATAAGCTGGTATAAATGGCTCCAGTGAGTAATTTTCCTTAAGGGCCACTACATAAGTCTGGCATATTCTCTGACTCTCCACATTACTGAAGGTTGCTTACAGCTCTGAGCAAAACAGTGAGCGTACTGCCATCCTCATGATCAGGCATCCAAGGAGACAACTCTTCTGATAAGTCACAGAAAAAAGGACTCCCTGTTTGCTCAAGCACTTGCACACTTCAGCTTCCTGCCAAAGCCTGCTCACACTTGAGGCTCCTGGTGGATTCTGGATATGCAAGCCCAGCAATCTACCCATGATCAGTGAGTCACCATGGCATGATTATCCTATGATTAAACCACTTTTGCTTCCTTTTGCTGTGGCCACTCCACATTGGAGCCTTTCCAAATAAGTCCACGTCTTTCTGCCCAGAGATCTGTTGATCTCTTCAGTACACCACATTTGAGATTGTAGCACCAAGGATTGCTGGACTGAGCACCACTGACAGGAAAAAAAAGTACAATGCCAAACTTAATTTTTATGATTATCTGTTCAACCTCTTAGCCAGTTCATCCAGGACAATCAGCACCATTTTCCTCTTGTGGAAAGCCATGTGGAAGAAGCACTGTTAAGGCTTTTTGGTGCCATGATAATGACTACAAAGGAGCCATTGCACAAATGAATAGGGAATACAGGAGAATGAGCTGAAAAGATAATGCTAAAATGAGGAGCTGGAAGGTGGCTAACAGTCGTTTGGGGGGACTGGAATGTACACAGGTCTACTTTCATCTGTGTAAACTTAATCCACAAATCAAATTGAATCCAGTGCAGTAATAAAAGTGACAGATAACTCACAACAAAATAGGGGCATGAGATGGGTTTTCTGGAAAAAGCCTCAAACAACTGGAATAATCCCAGAAGCAGTCTCCAAAACTCAGCCCAAGCCACCCCCTGTAGCAGTATGAAATGGTGGGCAGCAGAGGATGGACACGCACAGCAGCATTGCAGCTCTGCCTTGGAACCTAAGGAATGGAAACGGCCACAACTCTCTTCTGTTCCTTGTTTGAGAGCTGTGGGTCTTTGTTACAGCCCTCAAGGCTTTTGTGCCTCAAAGATAAATCTTGTCAGCCAGAGACAGTACCCCTCTGGTGTTTTATGGAATGTTTCTGCTCTCTTTTGTGATGTAATGAGAAGTATTTTCTCTGTGTTTTGTAAGCTGGTAGCTACAAAAACCTAGGCAGTACAACAAGATGCCTGTTTTCAAAGACTATATTTCAATTTTTCAGATGTTTGCAAAATGGTGGTGTCCTTAAAAGAACAACCTCATAATGCAGAGGACTAAAGGAAAACTCTAATTTAACTAAAGAGCCCTAAAGCTGCCTCAGTTCAGACTTGTTCCCAAGAGAACATTGCTGGGAGCCAACTACCGCCGCTTCCTTCTTTGCTTTCTGTTGCTGGCAAGACTGAATCTATTTTTTACTGACATGCCACTTATAATATGCTGTGAAGTGCAGACAAAATGCAAAGAGAAATTGCAGGCTGTCTTGATAAACATTTGACATCAGTTTCCAAAGCCTAGAAACAGTTTTGTGATGCTCTGAACTCAGGTAAGGCAGCAATGATATTACAGCAGTTCAGCTTTTTCGGGGTGCAATTGCACAGAAATGTCAGCTCTAAGATGAACTGTGTGAATGAGCAAATTCTAGCATCTTTATACTCAGACTACTGTAGAGACTGGCTCTTGATCAGTAACATGCCTGGGCTTCCGACTTTCTCAGTAACTGCCCAAGTCACTTAATTTGCTGATCAGCTACGAAGTAAAAATAAAACCTATAAGTACCATTGTAAACCTGTTCAAGACCTTGTAATGGATATATTATATAAATTCTATTTATTACAGTAAACATTTCTTTGCTACATTCAGAATTTTCTTATCTAGGTCCAAATGGAATTGAAAACATCTTGTTAATACTTCATTGACACCCTTTACTTTGCAACTTGGATTTTAAACATGGGTGTCCTCCCCTGCTCAATTGACTCTCAGTGTTGTTCTCTCCAACCTTTTTCCTGATCCCCTGACAGGAGCTGCTCTGCCATTTGTGCTCCTTCAGCAGTCTCAAACTCCTGACGGCCTTTAACCTACTGGATCACTTTCTGACTTCATGTGATGCCTGTGAACTTCTCTTCACCTGAATCTGAAGATGAGCATTTCAATCAATTTCTTCACTCCAGCAAACTCACGTGATGGAATGAATTTTGCAAGACAGTAATTTTTGCTGCA